ATGCGACGCGCTCGGGCCACGTCAAAAATGTCGTCGTCTATCCGTCGTGCACCCGCTGCCCCCTCGCTGGCTGTCATGTCTGCTGCCGTGTAGCGAATGTTAATGAGCTGTTAAAACTCAACGTCCAGCGTGGCCGCATCTTCAAATTAAAACTGCAGCCTGAACAGCCTGAACTCTTAACTTGTTTTACATCTTGTTTTTACCACTTTGTCGTTTGTCACGGCTATAAATAGTTTCATTAGTGGCACTACAATTGCCCAATAAATGGAGTCTAAGGCCTGAAACTGTGTAGGCCACTGATTGCACCTTTTTTTTGGACACTACTGAACCAATGGCTGCTGCTAATGAGTTTCTCTTCGTTTCGCTTCTTAAGCTAATTAAAAGACAGTTGCTCTTAATTCAAAAAATTAAAAGCTAACATTTAATCCAATTATATAAACAAGTTGTGAACTGTCTATAGAGAAGACAACATGCATTTATTATTAAAGTCAGGAGAAGTATTTGAGTCAAGTTGATGATTATTTGAAATTAAATAAATCGAGAAACATTTTTAGAGATTAAATTGACATATACTAAAAACTTGAAAAAAATTTAAATATATATTCAAAATAAAACAATTTAAGTAGTTTACTAAAATTTGTTGCATTTGTAGTTTTTGATGTTGATTCATTTATGTTGAAGATGGAACTCCACTTCCAACATTTGTTGTATGAACAGAATAAGAAAATTAAAATTAATTAGGAAAAGCTTAAAATAAGAAAATGTCAATTGGACAATCCAAGTCTATTATCTATTCGGCTTAATTATCTAGAATACTTACTGTTCAGGAAAAAGTTTTGATTAGGTTTCAAAAATTTATTTTTTTTAAATTTATTTTCAAATATATAAATAGTTCATGTATACGTATTATTATTTATTAATATTCATTTTTGTATAAAGATATTTATTACTTACAAAATTTTTCTTTTTAGCTTAAAGAGAATTAAAAATATCTAGAATATTAGAATATTTATAAATGTAATAAAAATCTATATTATTATCTACGTATAATATTTTTAAAATGGTTGCTGAATTATTCTTATATGCTTTAAAATTATAAATTCAATTTTTGTAAACCTTTTTTAATTTTATTTTGTATTTTATATAAATGTTTGTAAATATATAGACTTTATTTGTGTATTTATATTACTATCACTAATTTTTCTTGTATTTTTTAGATTATTTATTGGTATTTATATTTATATAACATTAGAAAACTATTTATTATTATTTATTTTATATACATTTTTTACATATTTATTAATTATGTATTAATAAATATGTAAAAAATATATATAAAATAAATAATAATAAATAATTTTCTAATGTTGTATAAATATAAATACCAATAAATAATCTAAAAAATAACATTATATTATTTAGAATATTTGTAATATAATGTAATATGATATATATGTATCTATACATATTTATTTAATATTATTAGTATTATTATATTATATATCATCAAAATGCTCTCAAACCTTTCACCCTCGCTTCGCATTGCCACTCTCAACAGAGCATCCTTTAGTGTGGCAGTTAGCTGCTTCAGCTGCAAGTTATTAGCACTTCACACTTAAGGCTGTCAGCACTAATAGAGGCCACTTAATAGGCTCTTAGCATTCGCTTCATTTAAGTAAATCACTGCAAATGAGCCGCATATGCAGTTGATTGTGCTTCCACTTCCGCGTCTTTTTAGAAAAAAAGTATTTGCCACCGAAGTTCTAAAGTTTCGCCCCCGCGTTACGATTTTCTCAAGTGTCTCGCATGACAATAAGCCGCTGCCTGGCTGCAGTGCAATTGTGAGTCTGTCTCGTCGCCAGAGTGAAATCCAATACGCAGTTGATATTGTGGCGGGGTGCGCTTAAGCGGCTTCTGCATGTCAAGCTCTTGTTGGCCCGGGTAAGCAAATACTTTGGCGCCCTTCGAGAGCGCAGCTCATATTACCCACGGGCCTGAAACAATAATTTATTGGTGGCCAGCCGATGGGAAAACGCCGAGACCAAAGTTATGCCAGCTCTAACTGGCTAAGGGACCAGCTCCCCAAACAATTTGTCTGCTCTACAAATGCCGTGGCGCTTCTCTAGCAATTACTTGTCTAAAATAATTGGCTATGCCGCAAAAATCTAAAAAGAGATAAAAAACCAAATGAAATGGTACAAAACAAATAGAAACTGAAAACGAAATACAGCAGTCCAGACCAGACGTCAAACAATCAAAAACTGTCTGCTGACTTTGACTTTGGCTACGGCTACGGCTACGGCTACGGCTACGGCTACGGCTTTGACTGCAGCTGCTCGTTAGGGCAGCGATTTCCGTTTCCGCTGGACCTGTGACTGGCATTGAAATTGAAAGAAAAACAAAAGCGTGAAAGGATTTAGCAGCAATCACAGTTTCAATATTAATAGTTGCCTGGACCTCTGCTCTCTGGATCACAGACTGTGCCTTCGCCTTCGCCTCCACCTGCGCCTGCCCCTTTAGCCATCAGCCGTTAGCAGCAACTGCTGCTGCTGCTGCTGCTGCTGCTGCTCAGCATTTTTGCTGCGTGGCTGCTTTTGGCTTTCAATTTATTTGGCTTCAGTGGCAGAGTCCTTTTGACCACCGCAGACATTGGCTTAAATGGCAACAATATAGCAGCAAACAAAGCGCAAATCGAAAAATTTGGGAACCTCCACGCCCACATAAAAGGGCGATTTTTATTTGCCGTCTATTGATGTTATTGACTGACTGACTGTGTGCCCCTGCAGCATCCAGCTGTGACCAGAAAAGCAAAACGACGTCGTCTGTGGTACGCGACATGCCCAGACCAATATAAAAAGGGAGCATAAAAATTCGTAATATTCGCCGCTTTCGGTATTTTTTTTTTGGCATTCATTTTCCCTTTTTTGCTTGCAATTTAACTTTCATTTTCAATTTTCATGGCCTTTTCTTTGCTTTTATTTGCGGCCAGCTGAAAATGATGTAGCCTTTGGATTTACTTGGCGCTTTTATGCTTCCGCTTATACAAAAAGCACGTGAAAGCGTGTAAAATGCACCTGAGCTGCGTTTTAGAAACACCAGACAATGCCCAGACACTGGGGCATGGGGCAGCTGAGAATGATTTAGTCGGGACTGCACAACTAGAAGATACCCTGAAGCACCAAAGGCAGTGAAGAAAGGCAGGCATGGATAAATCAATAGATCAGCAGACAGAATGATAGATGGATGAGGTGGTAAAGACTGTAGATAGGGTAGATAGAATAGCCTGTGCATGAGTGAGCTATGGCGATCTATGCTGCACTGATTGTCGCTGCGAAGAGAATAAATAAAAATGCCTTTTCCTTCTATCTCTATTGGCATAATCTACCAAGATTTGTAGCTCTACTTGAACAAAGCCTAAACCAATCTACCCTCATTTCCTATTTTAACAGAGTACAGGGTATAAAAAGGCTAAAAAATAAACCTTTTGTGCCATTTATCGACATTGGCAGAGATTTGAAATCAGAACTGACTAAACTCAAGCTTTAATAAATAGCATTTCAGTACAATCAGCTGCCATTTGCGCAGCGACGGTGTAATAAGCGGCAATTATTAATTAGAGTAATGCTCATTAAAAAAGTTGCTGTGGTGCATAAATTTCAACATAATTTGATTGGCGATGCAGGAACGAGGGAGACAGGGGCGAGCTATGTATTTAAATGGAATTGCCAAGAGGCAGAAAGTGCCTCAGTCAAGCTGCGTCAAGCCTCGCTGCTTATCGATTACATCTCGCCATGCGTCAAACGCCCACACAAACAGACAGAGCGAGAGATAGCTAGCTAGATAGGGGCAAAAGAGAAAGAGTAGGTGAGCGACCAAGCGGGTGAAGGCCACCATCGGCTTAGTGTTTCGGAGTGTGGAAAATAAATTGACATTTATCTGTGTGTAACAAGATCAAGTATACGCAACATTGCCCACTCTCAAGCTGTGAGCACAGCTCAGCTGTGATTTTGTGGCATGCTCGTTGATACAGTTGGCTCAGCTGAAATGGCAGGCGATTCTAATCGCAACGTGGCGTATGAGTAATTTATATTGCGTAGCTCGACCTCGACACACGCAAACAAATTAAAACGGAAACCAAACCCGCCAGGGAAACCTGGAACCCAGCCCAGCTCATGAGCTGGAGACGTGGATTTGCACTTGCATTGAGGTTCATGTGCGTCATGTTCTACTACCTAGCGACAGCTACTTGACATTTGATTCGCCGATTAGTGCGTTGCAAGTTGCTCTACGAGTGTGCAACCTCTTTGTGGCAGCGCTACTGAATTGAAATTGCAAATTTAGTTTTTATGGCAAAGTTTGACAAGAAAAAGTTGTAGAACGCTTCAGATTGAACTTATGACAAGCCACAGCGAGGGCTGCACTAAACGAACTTGTTCAGCGAACCAGTTCAGTGCGAGCTGAACAAGTTTTTATTTACTTATTAGCTCATTGGCATAACAAAAGTTGAGTCGTAATCAGACTTTCAGACTGGGAAAACTCTCATTGCAGCCCTGTGTCCATTCATGTATGCGTGCGTCGCTTATCAGCCATCGTGTTGCACGTTGCACATGCAACGAGTTGAGTTGTTGCCTCGCTTGACAGCGCTGAAAACTTTGCTGACAGGCAGCAGCAGCAGCAGCAGCAGCAGACGTAAGTAGCTGCTAAGTAAGTTGCCAACAAGCAGACATATGGTTAGTTACTGTTACTGCTCGATGCACAAGTGACGCGCCGATCAGGCAACTGATAACCTTTGATATACTTTTGCCATGTGCAGAGACCCATAGAGATAAACATCGTGTGGCATATGCAATTTGTCTCAGAGCTAAACGTCGTTCGCCCAAAGGGAGACTTGCTGCTATCTCTCTTCCACTCACTCTCTCTCTCCCACTCTCTCTCTCTCTCTCTCTTTCTTTCATTTATTCATTTAACACTGCTAACCTCGTTTTCATTTCTGCTTGCAGATTTATACCCAGCAGCACAAGGTGAGTTGAGCTCGTTCCATTCCACTCCATTCCCAGCCACAGCTGACACGAAACGCAATTAGACTACGGAAATCACACATATAAAACCAATTTGTAACTTGATGAGCTCCTGCAGAGCTTTGGCAAGTTTAAAGCAATTGCCATCAAATTTCCTGTGCCCCACTCCGAAAAAAAACTGATAGGTTTTTAATGCAACACGGAAATGCGCTCAACGAACCAAAGAGCAGGCGACAAAAAAACTTCTTCCATTTCCGCAAAAGCTCAAAAATGAGCGCGGAAAAACCTCGCAGATGTCGCTTAGCTATTTGCAGTTGCCCCACGCCTGAACGTTCTTAATGAAGTTAACACGGTTTCGGTAGCTTGACTAAGAAGGGATATGCAACAGGTGTTATGTGGCGCTTTAAGGACCTTCATTTGGCTTAGCATAGACAACGCTCTTATTGAACTAAGAGCAGCTCAGTTTTCACAACTGCTGCGACCATTGGGCAGCCAGTCGATGGCAACTCCTACAATACTCCTTTGTGTGCCTGTGCCCACGCCTAGGCGTTGCCAGGCAGCCTGGCGACTAAATGAATTTAAATTACTTTTACGTGCTGCGGCTTCACATGGCCCACAACTTGACGCAAATCATGAATAAATAAATATAATTCAATTACCTAACAAAAAAGAAAATACATGAACTGCGATCCCCCATGACTATATATATATATATACATATATATATATATATGTGCTTTCCACTTTGAAGCTCGTTATCAAGCAGTCGCTTTTGGCCATTTTAAAAATAAAAAAAAAGCTGCCAAAAAATGCTTCAATCGATTGCTCTTTATCCAGGCTGAGAACACTTTATAGGCACCTCATTGATTTTCATTGATTTTGTGTGAGTTATTTTTATAGAGGTATTTTGTGCATGCCTCACACCTGCCTAGCCTCGATGAGCAAGCAATTTATTGATTCGCCTAGGTATTTATGGAGACATTTCTCGGAAAATTTTGTTAACTGCAGCTGTGCTGCTGCTTAAATTGCAAGAGAAAGAACTGAAACTGAATTGTTTATATATATTATTACTTGAGGTCTAAAAGTGTAACAAAAATTGCCATGGATTCGGCTCTCAATCGTAGCTTGGCATCAGTTTATGCTGCTGACTTTTGTTCAAAATAAAATTGTGTTTGTTTGTTAAGTTTTAATATAGATATCAAATTTTTTAATTACAATTTAACAATTCATTTTCCCTAAACTTAAGCTGATTTCATTAGATTTTTCTAATCCTAGCAAAAGCCTTTTTTATACAAATAAAATTTACTCGGATTCAGCTTCAGTTTCTGCTTCAGCTTCTGCTTCATCTTTTCCTTAGCTTATTAGTTTATGAAGCATTAGAATTTAAGCTTTTAGACATGTCCTGTTCTCATTTGAAGCAACAATTTATGCACCTACCTCTGCTATAAACGCTCTAAGAATTTAAGAACTCTCCAACTCACAGTTTCCCATTTTCACTTTACTCAATTCAATTTAGTCAACTCTCTAAGCTTTCGTCTCCAATTACTGCATTTGAGCTCTGCTTCTTCTCTATAGTTTAATTGCTCGCTTCTTTGTGCTACGTGTCCGAAAAATTCTCTAGACTGCACAGTCTGAACAGTTTTCATTGTCAATTATTTTGGGGTAAAGTTCCATAAATTACTCAGCGGACTCAACAGGTTGCCATTGGCCCAGTCAGCTTCAATAGTCTGCCCATTTTTCAAGTGCCTGCATTCAATTAACAGTAAAATTTATGTATGGGGAAAACTCTGGATTCAGAGGAATCCTACTCTGCCCTCACACACACACGCACACTCAGTACAAAATTGTTCGTATCAACTGCCAACTGCAATTAAAAGGCAATGAATTTTGCTCTCTCTCCCTCTCTCGCTCTCACTCTCTGTCTATATACGTCTCACTCGCATTTGACTTGGCTGCTCGGGCCATGTGTGGGCGTTTCAGTGGTAGTTTGTGGCAGCGGGCGTGGTCGTGCGTCGCGTATGGCATTCGCCTTAAAAGTAAAACACTTAACTTAAATTGTGTTCAACAGCTGGAAATGAACAGCAGCAGCAGCAGCAGCAGCGGCGGCAGCAGGAGCCGCGCATCGCTTTAATTTTTGGGCATCGACCCCGCCCAGCCGCCCCTAAAAACTGTTGTCTCCTGCCCGATGTGATTATAATTTATTGATTGCACGGCCAACGGGCAACATCTGTCCGGCGAGTGTTTTAAAAATAGTTTGTGCATGTTTTATGTACATTTTATACATTTTATTTACATTTTTGTGCGGCGCCTTTAGTGCTGCCACGCCCCTAACCTATGGACATTAGTAAAAGCTGCTGTCGCTCACCAGCCCCTGCCTCCTTTTGGCAACACATTTCACATTTTTTATGATTTCCACATTTTGTTTTTTTTCCACTTGACAAAGCGAAATTTGAAAATGTCTGCGAGCAGCTGTCACAGCCACGCCCAACCGCCGCCCAGCCGCCGCCCACTTGCAGCAGCTTGTTAATAAAATTATTAACGTGTAAATTCTTGCGACTTATTTAGCTGCCAATTAATAAATTTTATATTCCGCTGCGCGTCGAGCTGTGCCCCATCGAAATCTTTTGTTATTTCAACGCATTCCACCGGAGGCTGCCCCTGCCCGCCCCCCCAGCCGCATGCCACCCGCAATATGTGTCTGGCATATTAATGAGCATTTGTTACACTTCGCGACGGAAATTTATGTGTCCAGGTTAAATTCCTGGGATTTCTGTGCGCTCTTCGTTCGGTTTGTTCATTTGTGAAATTAATTTATGTTCCTGTCCGCCGTAGTTTCCAACCAAATATTTAGTGACATTGCCAAACAATGAAAGCCATTTCGTTCCGTGTGCTCGCAACCCTTTGATTTAGTCAGCGCAAAATGATGTAAGAGCTAAATATATTTTTGTGTTTGAAAATTAATATTAATATGCATGTAGAGCATATATTTGTGGCTTAGAGTATTATTATTTAATATTTAATAACTCACTTAGCTTAGTCTAGCTGTTGCCTAATGGCACGTCTCGCCATCGATCTAGGCCTACCTCCCCCTCTCAGCCTCTCTCTCTCTCTCTCATATTAGCATGCCAAACACGTTGGCCGTGCAAACACTTTAATATACCAAAAAATTTAGCTGCTCGGCTCGTAAATAAGTAGACCGCCCACACACACACACACACAGTCACATTAAACTTTGACCCATTTCGTAGTGGCACATTTGCATAACGACGCCTGTTGGTGCCACAAAACCCTTTCGACAAAAATTAGAAACGAAAATCTAGCTAAATATTTAATTGGCCCACACACTCACATGATATTCCAGCTTAAGCTCTCACTCACTCTCACGCTCTCTCTCTCAGGAGATTTCATAAAACTGAACACTGAGCACTCTAATTGTTATACGTTATCCGCAGCGCAAATATGGAGTACACTGAACTGGCCGCAAATCCTTGCTTCGCTGCTCAAGTGAACTCGCCAGGCGCCATTGTGTCCCAGTGCCTGGCTCCGTGTTGGCTTTTCGGCGAATTTTTAATGTGCGCCACTAGCAGCACAATGTATTTCACTTCATTTTTTATTCACGCGCCCTACGGCTGCCTAAAAAGCACAGTCCCCGAACTTCAGCCGCGCGACTGCGCTGGCCTCAACCCTTGCTGCATGAAAATGTTTGCCTTGGCGTCCGAAAAAAAGGTTTGCGTGCCAAATTATTGTGCCAGTGGCCCAAACTTTTTCTCTCCCCCCTCTCGCTGGGCTGACTTCTATTTTGTTGTGTTGCCATTTGGCAGCAGCCAAAACGCAGAGTGCGTTGTACTCGACTCCTTTTAAAGGCAGCCGCTGAAAATCGATATTATTCACTGGCGCACAACGTGGCGTATGAGCGATGTGGCCGCTTCAGCTAAGGACTGCTGACTAGAATAGCTGCAAAATAATTAAGGAACTTTTAAATAAACTATTTAAACTATTTAAAATTGAGTCAACTTCACTTTACATTAAAATAATATAAATTATAAAATGCTTTGCGCTCGCCGCTCAGGTATTGCCCAGCAAAATGAAAGCTGCCTGGGAAACTGGTAAACTCGACGCACATGTGCCAACGTCCAAGAACGAAATTATATTTAATTTTTTATGTCAGTTTCTGTCTGCTTTGCCATCCATTCCATTTTTTTTTTTTTGTGGCGCGCTTCAGTTGATTTGCAACAGAGAAAATAAAATAAATAGAAATAAAAAGCGAAGCGCAAAAAAAATGGCTTAATAAGCGGCCACAACAACAAGCGGCATATCTAGAGCTGTCTCGCTGCTGCAGACGCCGTGGCAGACAGACAGCAACGTGCAGCGTGCAACGTGCAACGCAGACGCCATGCGGCAAAATAAAAACCCCAAACACCATAAAATAGACACAAAAACTGCGAACTAGGTATTTAAAAATATATATCGCTCCGCTGTATGAGGATCGCCAAGTGGCGGAGCCCAAAATAATGCGACAATTGCATTAAGTGCAGAATGGATGGATGACCGAGCAGCGGCAGCCGAGGCAGAGGCAGAGGCAGAGACAGGCACCGGCGACTGCCTGGCAAATGAAAATATTTTATCTTTATATGCAGTTCGCAGTTCGCAGTTCGCTGTTTGCAGTTTGCAGTTTTTGTCGCTCATTCTTTCTACTTTTCGCTGCTGCTGCTGCTGCTGCTGCTGCTGGAGCTTTGCTGCACTAAATGGCAGAGATGCTCAACTGGTTTTTATTGTGCCGGGTTATGGTCAAATAAAGTTTTAGACTTTATCTAGCGTATGTTTGCTAAAGGGGCTAAGAAGATGCTTGTGCTTAAGAGAGAGAGAGACAGAGAGAGAGAGAAAACGTGGCAGCTTAAGCGTGAAGTGTGAAGTTGCCAAAATGCTCCTGAAAGGCCAACGACTATCTCAAAAGCTTTCCATATCTAAGATAACAAGCACAATTAATAGATACGAATATATAA